AACCGCACAACTGTTTCCAAAATTGATAATAAATCAGCATATTAGAATGATTTCTGAAGAATCATGCGACACTGAAGACTGGAGTAATGATGCTGAAAATACAGCTGCGCATCACAGAAAAACATTATATTTTAAAGTATATAAAAACCAGAAAACCATTATTTTAAATAGTAATACCAGTAATACTGCGCAATATTACTGTTTTGTTCTGTATTTTTGATCAAATAAATGAAGGCTTGATGAGCAAAAGATATGCAATGTTTAAAACATTAAATGAAATAAAACTCGCTTAGATTTTTCATATCTTGATTTACTGGCTAGCTACTGTATAAACACTTTTTGGTATTTACTAGTTAAACTTGAATCCCATAGATCAAATATATTTAGAATATCAAAACGTAGATGAAGTCTTTGGGCTCAAGTGCAGCAAGTGTGGCTTCAGAGAAACTGCAGGGGAATCCCCCAGAGATTGTGTGTGGGGGGGATCATTTTTAGACTTCTGTTTTATTATTATCTCACCTAAATGTTTGTTCCAGTCTATGGTTTGTTCAGTCAGTGTATTTGTTTTTACAATTGTATAGCCTAATTTAGTTGCACAGTATATTACACACAGCACAAGGAAGTTTTAAACAATTTTTTTGTAATATTCATGTCATTTACATGAATACTTACCAAGATGGACATTTTGATATTGTGTGTGCAGGATTTAAGAAATGATCTGTGCATGTTATGTAGGAAAGCACAGTGCATGTAGGGGGTGTGGCCTCACTAGCCCTAGGGGTAGAAATTAAACTCAAATTGCATTAAATCATGTTGTTTTAACCAATATTATGCTGCAAGATTTTTTCTCAACTACATTTAAGTCCCCAGTTGCTGCAATTTTGCAAATTTCCAGTTTATTCCCATTAATTCCCATATATTCCCATTAATTCCCATGGAAAGTTTCCAGTCTTGAAAATTCCCGGAATTTTGCAACAGAGACACACACACAGACACACACACACACACTGCATCAACATCTACAGCAGACCCAGCACACACTCACTGGCACTCCTGTCTGAGACTCACCGCCATCACACTTGGCCAGATCCACGGCTTTGGGCACATGTACGCTGAGGACATGGATGTCATCGTTGCAGATGAAGGAGTTCTGCTCCTGCGTCTGTGCGCCGAATAGTTGGTCAAACAGACGGCCTGTGCCGCTTCGGTTCCCGAAGGCCTCCACCACGTCCTTCAGCAGCTGCTCCACGTCCCGGCTCAGGTTCAGCAGCATGTGACCCGCCTGACTCTGACGATCACAGGCCAGCAGCTCCAGAGGCTCATGGGACGCCTGCTCACTCCTGGACTGGATTCGTCTGAAAGAAGAAAGTCCTATACACTTAGGATGCCTCGGGGGTGAGTAAAACAGCCTAATTTTCATTTTTGGGTGAACTAACCCTTTAACGCAGTACACGTAGCAAGGGTTTTTTAACCCCTTAGCTGTCACCCCCCATTTTCAGCATGGAGACACAAATGACATACCCAAAATAAAAAGGTTGCTGCTCATGAGTCTTTCTTACTAGATACATAATCAACATATGTTCACAAAGCTGACACTTCAAAGTTTACTGTTCAGGAATCAGAATTACTCGGACTGTTATGATAATAAAGATATATAAGCTCAAACATGAAAACAAAAATAAAAATATTAAAAACATTTTTTAAATGTATAAAAAAAATATGTTGCTGTAGAATATGATTTTAGAAACACAAAGCTAAAGCCACAAGTCTACTAATGCTTCATTTGAAATTTCAGAACAATCTCTAAAACTGTGAATTTTATGAAACATTTTTTAAGACCATGTGTGTTTTTAAAGAAGGCTAATAAATAGGGCTGGGTATGGAGTTCGATACTTTTTAGGCACCGACCGAATTGCCTCGATACCATCGAGTATCGAAAAACGTCTCGTCGTTCGGTACCAAATTTCGATACCCATCGAACATTTTTTAACGATACCCAGCCCTACTAATAAAAGGCTAATACAATTGATTTATGGCCCTCTGTAAGCTCTCCTGCCTGCTGTCTCGTCAAACTGCCCCATTCATGATTCTATTGTTCTTACCCAACGGACCTTTCACACCTCCGCCAGGTATGAGACATTATCCTCATTATTCCTTTATCATTATTCTTTTGTTTTATTCAGCCATTAGTAGCCTTTATTCTGGCATTACAAGGTTTACCAAGCCATATCGCTTCAATCCCAGTATACATTTACCCAACTATTATCAAAAGTCTTTCTATAAAAATACAACAAAACATTTTCTTGCGACCTTACGTGAATTATTATGACAACATGCATTATGAAGAAGAGCTGCACCTGTTCTGCAGCTGCATTAGAGCTAACCGAGATTATTAGTACACTTTTACTCAAAACTCACTTTAAACCACCATCCAGTGTTTGTAATAACTTCCTTTTGCGATCTCGTGTGGAATTTGGTCGTTTACTGTTGTAAAAATATGCTATTTATAGCCTTTTATGTCGCTGCACAAATTAGCATTTCAGATGTACACATTCATTATTCAGGGCTCGCAAAATCGCTAGCCCGACGTCCCGGGGCTATTGTGTTTTCCAGTCGGGCTACCAAAATATATCATTGCCCTGCCCGACGGGCTATCTTGAATAGTGATATAAAATCCCTTCCTTGATTCGCGTTGTTCACTCGCTTGTAGGGGTGAAACGGATCATAGTTTATCACTTACACATGTTTCTAAGTCGTACCAATTTAAACATTCATGCGTTTTAAACCATTCATGCGCATGAAGAATTCAGTTCGGTGCTCGCGCGCACATACAGAGCGGCGTTTCAGGCAGAGCACGAACACAGAATTGATTCCTCTTTTGCTTGAACCGTCACATACATGCAAAATTATCTCAAAATATCTAACTATCTCGGCAAGTATTTTCATGTCTTAAATGAACAAACAGTGGAGAAAGAAATCGCACGTGCATCATTATATTGGATCCATGCATTCGGTCTTAAAGGGGCAGCAGTCTATAACCTTTTTTTTTTGCTCATCTGAAAAATGATCCGATCTGTGACTCAAAATGTGATATAATGTAATCATGTGATATGTGATATGATAATGTAATATAATCCGAACCGTGATATGTGATCCGTTGCACCCCTACTCTCTTGATATCTTTTATTCGGGCTAGTTAAATTCATTTTTGGGCAATCAAAATCTGAAGAATGCCTGCCCGAAGGGCTACCAGGGATTTAGAAATTTTGCGAGCCCTGTTATTGTTATGAAAATACCCCAAATCTGAAGAAAATCACATACAAACCATATACTATCGTAATCGTGTGTTTATTATTTGGATATTTCGTGGGTACAGAGGTTTCTCTGTGTTGTTGTGGTCATATATCAACGCGGAAGTGTGAAGGAAGCACGCGACAGGATGAGACGGGGCGGCATATGATGCACAGTTATGATTGACAAGCGCTGGACGAATCAGGTCTCTGTCAGTCACGGCGCGAGCACGGAAGAGTAAACATACAGATCTCTGTGTTGTTGTGGTCAGAAATCAACACGGAAGAGTGAAGGAAGCGCGTGACAGGATGAGACGGGGCAGGATATGATGCGCAGTTATGAGTGACAGGCGACGGACCAATCAGAGTTCGTCTGAGTCACAGCGCGAGCACGGAAGAGTCAACACACAGAGACAGCCCAGGGAGCGGCTAATTATCATCAGATCGCCTAAATCAGTGGAAAATGAATAGAAATGATGATTCTGTCTGAAGAAATATGAGTAAATATATCTATATATCTCCATCTATATGCATCTTTGGACTATAAGCCCTTATTAACCCTGTTCAGTGAATCTATGTGAACACAAATAAACCGCTGCTGACGTGACTGAATATGAATGCGTGGTGAATTTCTATTCTAAACATGACTCATACAGATTTATTATTTTGCACTCCTGACATAAATTACTAAATTACTGTCACTGCAACAGTGTTTTATCAAAACAGTGGTCAAATATTGAAGCTAGAGACTTTAATCTTTCTACTGATGCACAGTTTGTCCAGATCAAGTAAGAGTGTGATGTTTAGCGTGCTGTTAAAAGTGAAACAACAATAATCTGGGGCCGTCGCCGATCTTTGACCGCTAAGGGGTTAAATAATATAATAAATAAAAAGAAAACAGATGGAGTAGAAAAAGAATAGAGCAAGCTAGTGTTAGAGGTATTTTTTGCTATGGTTAATTGTATAATAAATGAAAAGAAAACGGATTAGAAAGTTTTAGTTACTAGTTTAGTTAATTTTTTTATATTTCAGTATTTTAGCATTGGTTTTACACTACAATGTCACGCAGCTAAACTGTTCAACCAATTCAAATGGCCAATTTCCCACATTCTCATTTTTCCAAGAAACCAAGCACCGTGCAACGCAAAATATGTGAATCTGTTCATCTGTTAATCATATCACATGATCAGATTAAACCATATGGACTACTGTTACAATGCCTTTACAAACTTTTTGAAGCACCAAAGTTGTGCTTAAATGGAATTTGAATGGAGGGACAGAGATCTCTCAGGTTTCATTTAAACACCATCATATGTTTTGAAGACAAACAGAAGTCTTGTGCTGTCAGTTTTGGGTGAACTATTGCTTTAAAGATGAATGAGCTAAAAGCAAGGTAAGAAACACTGAGACACTGGCGTGAGGACGGGCGATGCTGTACCTGCAGGGTGCGGAGCAGCAGCTGGTACCACTGCAGACAGTGTCTCAGGACGCCGGCTCTCTCCACGGCGAGGCAGTGTTTGACGGCGTCCTCGAGCCGGCCCTCGGCGCTGTAGAGCTGCACCAGCTTCTGGTTGATGTAGGTGTCTGCGGGCCGCAGCTTGAGCTCCGCCTGCAGCAGCTCGTACAGCTGGTTCGAGCCGCTCTGAGCGCTCAGAAGCTTCTCCTGCGGCAGAGAGGACACGTGAGACGCAGCACAGCAGACGTCTGCAGCTCTTTAGCGCACACTCACCCTCAGATTGAAGACAGCCGGGTGTCCCGGCAGAAGCCTGGCCGCTTTCTCCACCCAGAACTCGGCTCGGCTGTCGTGCTCGGGTTTACTGCACAGCAGCTCGGCCACCTTCAGGACCAGATCGTGCTGAGCCGGATTCAGATCCACCGAGCGCTAAGAGTTCAACAAACACCATCATTATATAAAGTACACACCTCTCACTCAGACTACAGCGCCGCACTGGAAGGTGAACGATACATTTGACAACAGGGTACAACAACACTGAAAACAGAGGAAGCGACGGAAACTGGAAAGGAAAATACAGATAAACGCTAGGGTTGGGCAATATCTACCAAATTGGCATCAGACAATGTCTGCAGTGAAACATCGCGACGGATGATGACATCGGGGTTAGGGATGCAGGGAATGATTCACTGCGAATCGAGTTGCTCTGAGATGCTGAAGGCATTAGATCATGAGCTGCTCACGTATAAATAGGGTTGGGTATCATTAGAATTTTATCAATTCTGATTCTTTTCGATTCCCAGTTTCGATTCCAATGTGATTAAATAATATCAAATTATTGGAGCTGAATACCACGAACACAAATCAACAGGCTACATAAAAACTGGACTCTTTAAGAGCTGTTTGTGTGCAAAATAGAACTGCATGATTCTGGATAAATTGAGTTTTTTTTCCCCCAATGGAAGTTGTGGTCCTCATGATTCTGAAGAAAAAACATTAGACAACTAAACAAAATCACATGTAATTTAAGAATACATGATTCAATGGCTCACTCAAGATGAACTTGTTTCATTACTGGATGAATCAGTGTTCTTGTACGAATCTCTTGTGTGATTCAAAGACAAATACATTTTAACAGCCCCTTTCCTCCACCTACTGGCTTAACAATGTCATCGATAAATCTTCATTTGAAGTGTCAAATTACTTTCAAAAAGTGATTTAATCGCTACCGTACAGAGAGTTGTATCTAGGGATATGCCGGTATCAAATTTTCATATTGCGATTAATTGCTAATGCTTTTATCACGGTATACGGTATTATTACGATATTGAAATTTAGTTTTAAAAAAAGTGCTGTCATAATACAGTATAACAGGTTTAATAAAATTTTTCTTATAACAAAAATAACTGAACATTTAAATGCAATCGTTCATGACAGACAGCTGCTTTCTTCAGGTCAGTGGCAGCGCGAACGCAGATTTAAATGCTCAAATCACACTGGTGTGATAAAAGCGCATAGGAATCGATAGGCGGAACTGAAATTTTAAATTGACAACAAGTGTCCGATTCCTGACCTTACATATCTGATTCTGGAATCGATGCCCAACCCTACGTATAAATGAACACATTTTGAAATGATGGACTTTGCGCTTCATTAAAACACAGACTGCAGTGTGTCAGAGAGAAAACAGCCTGTTAGCAGTGCATCCAGACTGCACAAAAATTTGCACACAAACAACTTTAAATATTTCTATCAAAATACTATTGCAAAACAGATACTTGACAACACCATTATATGAATATTTATTTACAGCCCTATGATTAATGCATGATCACATTAAACTCAAGAGCTCGAGGGTGTGTTTAAGAGCATGCATTAGGAGAACATGTGAGAGCGAACGAGGAGAGTCCAAACCTTGTAACATCCCACAGCTTTGTCTGTTTCGCCGTCACGCTCAAACAGCTGCCCGAGGAACTTGTGCGCTTTAGGATCCTTCGGCTGGACGGTCAGATACTCCGAAACATGTCTGCCATTGAAGTGTGTGAGAGAGAGAAACATCAGCTCATCCGAGAGGAAGCAGACATCAGACAAAGCAGCAGGAGCACAGAGACCAGCCTACCTTTTAGCCAGCTCATACTCCTTAGCCTCAAAGTAGAGTTTAGCAAAGAGAAATCCTTTGACTGGCCTCTGCAGAAACACAGATCACAGGATCACAAACTCAGGGTCAGGACACAACACCACTGCAAACCCTAATGACCACAATAACTACATCATGCTATGAGTTTAAACCAATGTTGTAGTCCAGTGATTCTCAAACTTTAGTCGCGCACACCCCCAGGCATTTATGATCCTCTCCCACACTAGACACAAAGCATTTCAAAAACATGCACATGTAACAAATACACACTATCAGTTAAAAGATTTTGAACAGTAAGATTTTTAATGTTTTTTAAAGAAGTCTCTTCTGTTCACCAATTATTCAATCCAAATAAACAGTTCAATTTAGAAATATTCTTACCATTCAAAATAACTGTTTTCTACTTGAATATCAACCCTCTACATTGCGAGTAAATCACTCGCATATGCGACTAAATCTTCACTCTGGCGACTAAATGATGTCTAATTGCTAATAAATTCTCAGATTTTACTCGCCAGTGTGTGAGTTGGAGGCTAAGTATAAGTTTAGCTCAGATATATTTTCACTCGCCGAACACTCTCTGACTGAGCGCATCAGAGTTTCACTCTCCGCCAAGCGATCTGTGCTGTATATCGGTCGACCACTAATTATAAATGTCTTTATCATCACTTGTGAACAATTTAAAGCATCCTTGATCTTTGGATCTCTCTATTCAAAGAGTCCTGAAAAAAAATCTACTCAACTGTTTTAAATATTGCTAATAATAATAGTAATATAAGAAGAAATATTTCTCGAGCAGCAAATCAGCATATTAGAGTGATTTCTGAAGATCATGTGACACTGAAGACTGGAGTAATGATGCTGAAATTTAACAGGGGTTAAAGCAAAAATAATCCTGAGCCTGAACTTTTTTATGGGGGTTGCGGGGGCGGACACATACACAGGGTTATTTGGCAAACAAACAAAAAAGAACATTATTTGAAAATGATTTTCCTTGAAACTAACTAGTAACGTATCTGCCCTTGCCTTCAGCCCTTGCCAGCCTCAGACTACAGATTATGGAGGGATGTTTGAAACAGCAATACCAAGAAAGGTTACTCACTATAATGCAAACACATGTCAAATTTAGGATGCTATTGATATCAAGTTTTGCTGGTCAGCTTTGTCCTTGACAGGGTACAAGATGACCTACAATTTAAAACATGAAATTTCAGAAATTGTTTTGTTCAAAAGAAATAATGGTAAATTACAAAACGGAGAGCTCCGGTGCTTGATTCTGATTGGCTGAGCCGCGTTCGAAGCTGTTGTAAATTACTCTACAAAGTAACATACACCTTTGTTTACGTTTGTCTGTTGCTCGGCAACCACTTTGTAGCAACCACAACTGTTTCTGAGGAGCTACATTGTTTGGTGGAAGAATACAGTTTTTATTATCATTACACTTTATTTGCTCTGTTTTATTCTGTGAAACCTTACTACGTATATGGAATAACCGTTTTATAAAAGCAATAAGCCCCGTGAAGCCGTGGTTTACAGTGAATTTACCTAACAATGCCCCTTAGCTGTTATAAATTCACTGTAAACCACGGCTTCTTGGGGCTTATTGCTTTATTAATATTAATTGAATAACAATGTAATCGTTAGCAAATTTCAGTTTTCATTCTGTACAATATGGTGTTGTTATGAACAAGACAATATTTTAATACTATTTTTAAGAAATTTTCAATGACAAAATATTTTTTAATTACAAAAAGTAAAACAATGCAGTTGTATTTTGAAATATTTTAACTAATCTAGGGCTGTAACTAATGATTATTTTGCTAATCAAGTAATCACTGATTATTTCGACAAGTGAGTAATCTGATATTTTTTAGTAATACAAATAGAACTAAGTGAAAAACAGGCTTTATATTTATATATAAACTAACGATGAGGCAATAATAATTGGCTCAAATAAAGTATCAAAACCAAGTACATGGTTTTATTGAACAACTGTTAAACACAATGTAATCTGCCTATATTATAACAAACACCTGCAGAGGGCGCCAACAGCCTGGTGATGTTTCATGTGATTCAACGACGTTTAAATCCATTTAATTGCAATATTTGGCCATATGCAAAGTGAGAAACTTTTATTTTGAAATCACGATCTACAATAAATCGCATATTTATAAATATGTTGATGTATTCTGTGTTGGCATAGGTTTATATATGACTTAAGTTACAAATTAAGTGAGATAACGCACAGTTTTCCCAGATGAACGTTAAGCAACCCAAACTCACCGCATATGCAGAGGAAGAGTTTAGCTCCTTTCACACAGTCTTCACTAGTAAATTGCTGTTAAGAGATCATGTGTGAAAAGGACCTTTTCAAAACTACAGGTAAATTTGTTCTGCCAATCATATCGTTCTTATGGAGATGACGTGATTACTCTGAGCTGTTTACAAAGCTCTGTTAATTATATAGAAAATAGCTTTTCTATATAATAACGCAGTTTCCACAGATGAACGTTAAGCAACCCAAACTCACCGCAGACGCAGAGGAAGAGTTCAGCCCCTTTCACACATACAGTCTTCACTGGTGAATTACCGGTAAGAGATCATGTGTCTTGACCTCATGTCACAGGACCTTTTCAAAACTACAGGTAAATTCGTTCTGGCAATCATATCATATTCTTATGGAGATGACGTGATTACTCTGAGCTGTTTACAAAGCTCCGCTGCTTTTTTAATAGCTTTTCTATATAAATATGGCTCTAGATGGAAATCTTTGACCATTGCACCTCGCAGCTTTTTCAGAATGTGTCGCGCTCATCAGCTGCGACTCTGCAGTTGGACACTATTATTGCGCGGCTTGTGTTTATAGGACCAAAAACGTCTGATTGGCTAGTAATGTTAGTTTGGTTGAGAGTGAAAGCGGTGTTCCTCTCATACTCTGGTAGGCGACCTCATGAACTCGAACGTGATATCAACAAGTGTTTAAATGTAGGACGACTATCTTTTTCCCCGCAGCTAAACGCCGCAGAACTTTAAGCCCCGATTTAACTTTGATCACAGGAATAAATTAGGCTACATTTTAAAATATATTCAAATAGAAAACAGTTATTTTAAATAGTAAAAATATTTCGAAATTTCACTGTTTTTGCTGTACTTTGGATCAAATAATTGCAGGTTTGGTGAGCAGAAGAGACTTCTTAAAAAACATTAAAAATGTTCAAAAACTTGACTGGTAGCGTAACTTTGTAAAATAACTCCCTTTTATCAAACACATACCGATCATATTTTTTAAAATAAATTACTCGATGTTTAATGAGATGGGTGTGCTTGATGTGATTTGCGTAACTATTAGAGAGTCTGAGGCTGGCAGCACACTAGATGATTTTCAAATCTCAGCCCATTTTAAAACCATAGGAGACCACAGACACGAAGAGAGTTTCAACTGATTTTAGTGCGCGTGATTTCTGAGAAAATGCAGAATATGGGTGATTATTTTTCTCAGTACTCTGCTTGCATGGCATGTCTGTGGTTGCCAAGTTTCATTTATAGAAGCACACAACATCTCGCTCTCATTGATCAAGAGTGCTAAATATCAAACATGTTTCATATTTACAATGCAACCCCGGTCTCCTTCTACCTTCTGGCACCTTACACAACACATAACCCGCGGTTTTTCACCAGCGGGAGCCACAACGGCACGCATTAACCTCACTCTCTTCACCTGCCTAAAGATCTCTGGCTGCTCCCGAACACAACCCTCCTCTCCGTTCACTCTCATTAGCTTACCTATCTGCCACCTCACCTTTATTATTTCTCCTCTTTTACTCCATAATGGAGCGAGCATCATGTGGTACGCAAGCGTCGTGCTCGTCTCAACATCTCTCACGTTTACTCTGATTGATGCGCGTGAGCAAACAGTGCAGTTCTACATTTATTTACCTGTTGGCCACCTTACCTTATATTTTGTTCCTCTCTTTAATCTGTAATGGAGTGCATCTCTCACTGTTTACAGAGGAGCATTTATGCAAACAATATAACACTACCATTGTATTTGTACACTAAAGGCGGCAGGTGTTTATATATTTTGCCTGTGAGCAACAGATGTTCAGTTGAATGTTATTTAAGAGTGTGATATAATTAACGGTACAGTCATATCTGTTGAGCGGGGAACACTATGACCAGTCAGCACGGTTTAAGAATCTGCTCAAGTGTTAATGCAAATAACAGATGGAAACACATTTGCTGAATAAATGCACATCTGTAACACACACTAACTGAAACACACTGACTCTACACACAATAACACACAACACAATAAAGCAGTCTGAGACGAGGTGCATGATGGGAACTAAACCTCACCCACAAAATCAAACAGTGGGAGTCATTAACACTGTAAGTTGTGCAGTTAACATACTTGTGTCGAACAGAAAGAGCCTCTTTAGACCTCGCTTCATCAGCGCTCAGATGCTGAGATGATCGAGATCAGGTTAAACTGGGCAGAGGACACTTCATCACAGAAATAACAGATCTGTGCTGAAGCTACAGACAGACCGTGTGAGTTTCTCAGAGTAACTCCGCAAACGCTCGGCAAGGTTCAAATAGAAAACAGTTATTTTAAATAGTAAAAATATTTCGAAATTTCACTGTTTTTGCTGTACTTTGGATCAAATAATTGCAGGTTTGGTGAGCAGAAGAGACTTCTTAAAAAACATAAAAAATGTTCAAAAACTTGACTGGTAGCGTAACTTTGTAAAATAACTCCCTTTTATCAAACACATACCGATCATATTTTTTAAAATAAATTACTCGATGTTTAATGAGATGGGTGTGCTTGATGTGATTTGCGTAACTATTAGAGAGTCTGAGGCTGGCAGCACACTAGATGATTTTCAAATCTCAGCCCATTTTAAAACCATAGGAGACCACAGACACGAAGAGAGTTTCAACTGATTTTAGTGCGCGTGATTTCTGAGAAAATGCAGAATATGGGTGATTATTTTTCTCAGTACTCTGCTTGCATGGCATGTCTGTGGTTGCCAAGTTTCATTTATAGAAGCACACAACATCTCGCTCTCATTGATCAAGAGTGCTAAATATCAAACATGTTTCATATTTACAATGCAACCCCGGTCTCCTTCTACCTTCTGGCACCTTACACAACACATAACCCGCGGTTTTTCACCAGCGGGAGCCACAACGGCACGCATTAACCTCACTCTCTTCACCTGCCTAAAGATCTCTGGCTGCTCCCGAACACAACCCTCCTCTCCGTTCACTCTCATTAGCTTACCTATCTGCCACATTACCTTTATTATTTCTCCTCTTTTACTCCATAATGGAGCGAGCATCATGTGGTACGCAAGCGTCGTGCTCGTCTCAACATCTCTCACGTTTACTCTGATTGATGCGCGTGAGCAAACAGTGCAGTTCTACATTTATTTACCTGTTGGCCACCTTACCTTATATTTTGTTCCTCTCTTTAATCTGTAATGGAGTGCATCTCTCACTGTTTACAGAGGAGCATTTATGCAAACAATATAACACTACCATTGTATTTGTACACTAAAGGCGGCAGGTGTTTATATATTTTGCCTGTGAGCAACAGATGTTCAGTTGAATGTTATTTAAGAGTGTGATATAATTAACGGTACAGTCATATCTGTTGAGCGGGGAACACTATGACCAATCAGCACGGTTTAAGAATCTGCTCAAGTGTTAATGCAAATAACAGATGGAAACACATTCGCTGAATAAATGCACATCTGTAACACACACTAACTGAAACACACTGACTCTACACACAATAACACACAACACAATAAAGCAGTCTGAGACGAGGTGCATGATGGGAACTAAACCTCACCCACAAAATCAAACAGTGGGAGTCATTAACACTGTAAGTTGTGCAGTTAACATACTTGTGTCGAACAGAAAGAGCCTCTTTAGACCTCGCTTCATCAGCGCTCAGATGCTGAGATGATCGAGATCAGGTTAAACTGGGCAGAGGACACTTCATCACAGAAATAACAGATCTGTGCTGAAGCTACAGACAGACCGTGTGAGTTTCTCAGAGTAACTCCGCAAACGCTCGGCAAGGTGTAACTAGAAGCAGGAGTCTGCTCGTGTTGTTTCTGTCAGAGTGAGTTTAATGTAAGTTAGTGACAGAACGCGTTCGGTGATCGGTTTACCGACATTAGGCCCGTGGTGCTCTTCTTACCGCTTTCTGCGAGGGAGAGGCGCTCTGGACGGAAGAGATATAGCGCTCCACGTCCGCTTTAGTCCGCCTCATGGCTGCTGTGACTAACTCCTCTAAACTCGGGTTCACAAGCTGATCATTGAAGCGCGGACCAGCGGCTCCTAGCACTCTCTGCTCACGCGCGAGTGACGCACCATCGAGCAATGACGCCATTTCCGCTCTATCTTCCGCTGCTGCTAATGGTGCGTGTCACGTGTGCGTCTCCGCCGCCTGCTGGCCTGGAGCGACGCGCGGCGTCTTCTTCTTCTTCTTCTTCATCAATGGCCGTTCATCTACTGTGTATCTCACTCTGTACTGCTGTTTTCCCCTCTTAAATAAATAAAGGAATAATGTAGTGATCAGAGCCCATGCCTCAGAAGCATCATGATCCTCCTCCTCAGACACTATAATGCTAAATCCTGTGGTCTAGTCCTGTAAGCTCTAAACATGTTAAAACCACCTTATATATCTGCTTATCTCTCAAACCCCTAAAGGTCCACGACGCTCACTGGCCTACAGAACAGATTCCTTATATTGCTAAACAGATTATTACGCTGATCATCACATCTACTGCATTTGAAAAGCACATGCTCTGCTGTTTCTGAAACATCACGTTCATCACACATACCATTTCCGTGCTTCCCCGTTAATCCTGTGTGTCCCAGCCTATCCAGATATACACAAAACTACCCTCTACTTTCAGTCCGTACAGTAATGTAACACTAGCAGCTCTTCTCAGTCAGTTTTTGTAGGCATTACACTCTTGAGAGCTGATGAAGACTCTGAGCATTAATGCAAGTGATCCTGTGTGTCCCAGCCTATCCAGATATACACAAAACTACCCTCTACTTTCAGTCCGTACAGTAATGTAACACTAGCAGCTCTTCTCAGTCAGTTTTTGTAGGCATTACACTCTTGAGAGCTGATGAAGACTCTGAGCAAATTACAATCCTGACCTGTTCGACCCATTGCAATCCTACTATAGTTAATTCTGTAGAGTATACAGACAATTTGTCACTTAATCTTAAACTTATTTGTGTCTCAAATCGTGGAATATACACTTTGATCGATTGGATCTTTAGATCCATCTGTATAAAAGAATACAATTCTCTCATAAAAACATTGATTTCATGACTATATCTCTCTTCTGCTTCTTCCCAGGCCTGTAATAAGGCCAATAATCTCATTTCAGCTATAAGTTCAGGAATATTCCATACTGATACACCATTTAATGGCATGTTAGGACAGATTACTTCATTCTCCAGACCACAATCCTTGACCCACTCTTCATATTTCCATCCAAAACTATTCCCTCCATTCTTTTTATATTCCCAACAATCATTTAACATTGTGCGTGTATGATGATTGTTACTTAACCCAATACATCATTGTACAAACATTCTCATATATTTTACTTGTTTCTAGTCTTCTTTTTAAGAACTAATCATCCAAGTTTTTCTGTCTTCTTCTTCTGCTGCTGTGTAATGGTGCTCCGCCACCTACTGGCCTGGAGCCAGGATCGGTGTCGTCTTCTCTCAGTTGGCAAATAAACTTATTTTCGCCAGCCCCTGAGAAAGAAAGAAAGAAAGAAAGAATATTTACATATAAACTACATTATTTTAATAAGATTTGTTGACTTTTGTGTCAGTATTGTCAGGTTATATACGTATACAAGTATGTACGCTACAATTACAAAATAAACATAAATAGATCAGTACTTTATACTTTTAGTATTGAAGTACATTAAAAGTCAAATACTCTTGTACTTTACATGAGTAAAATTGAAAAGGAGTAGTTAATACTCTTACTGGAGTAATGCTTTATCAGAATATCTGCACTTTTACTCAAGTACTTGCAGAGCTCCAGCCAAAAAAAATAAAATAAAAATCACCTAAAGGTTTAGTTCACCCAAAAATGAAAATTAGGCTGTGTTTTACTCACCCCCGAGGCATCCTAGGTGTATATGACTTGCTTCTTTCAGACGAATCCAGTCGGAGTTATATTAAAAATTGTCTTTGATCTTTCAAGCTGTTTAATGGCACTCAGCGGGTGTTGCAGTGCTTCAGTCCAAAAGAGTTCCCTTGAAAGGGAAATCAGTTTATTCTCACTTCCATATAGCTTTAAGGTTGTCAGTATACATCTTATGACCTGTGAATGACTCTTGATGCAATCAGTGGCGGACTGGCCATCTGGAGCACCGGGAGTTTTCCCGGTGGGCTGCTGTACAATGTGGGCCGGCTCTTTGCGTAAATATATATAAAAAATGAATTGTAGTATATCCTTCCATCGGCACAGACGAATGGCGCCGCACGGCCCACTTGATTCAAAAATTGTAAAGGAGGGAGGCTCAAAAGCGCTCGTCAATGTCAAAATGTTTGAAATAGCCAACCAAAGTGTAGAAGGGGGGATTTACTGTTAACAGACGCTGCGCTGCACGTGACTTGAATGCGAGCTGAGGTAAGATGTAAGCAGCTAAGCATGACGAGACAATTCAGCAATATTTGCCAACCGTTACGATAAAAAAAAAAAAAAAGTTAAACGACAGACATTAATTTTCAAGAATGCAAACTACTACTGGCCTTTTCAAATTTCTTAGATTTGAATGTCATTTACGTTATTCATCTGCAGTTTTCAGCAGACATGAGATAAGAGTTAATGTATCTCTGTATAGGCTTTCATCCGTGATTTGACGTGTCTAAGAAAATGTTTAAAAATCTATAAAAATCATTCTCAATCTTGCTCTGAAACATTGAGAATCTGAAGACTTTTGCTTTCGAGTGCTGTGCATATGAAAGTGATTTATATTATAGGCCTAATAAAAATATAATTTGCTTATTAATTCACATGCATTATGTTATATACACGCTGGTGGTTAAAAATTAGAAATAATTAAGGCTTATTTATTTATTTATTTGAAAGAAGATTGAATTTATTTGATCAAAATACAGTAACAATAATATTATGAAATATTACACTTAAAATAGTGGTTTTCTATTTAGGATATTTTAAAATGTAATTTATTTCTGTGATCAAAGCTGAATTTTCAGCATCATTACTCCAGTCTTCAGGGTTCCTTCAGAAATCATTTTAATGCTGCCTAATTATTATCAGTTATTATTTTTGATCAATTATTAATAATGGGTTTTATTATTGGTATAATGGTTCTCAGTTAAAGAACAGCATTTATTTGAAATATAAGTACTTCGTAATAAGTATAAATATCTTTACTGACACCAATTTAATGCAACCTTGTTGAAGAAAAATATTAATTTATATTTTTTAAATCTTACCCAAGACTGAATGGCATCACATTTTCCACAAAAATATGAAGCAGCACAACAGTTGCACTATTGAAGTCTTCTAGACGATACCAGAGCATTGTGACATATGGACTGATAATATAGGTATTTAACTTTAGTGATATTAAACTGTCCCTCGTAAAAATTCTTAAAAATTATTTATTATTTGCCATATACACCAGTAAAGACAAATTATAATGTAAAGAATGCCAGTCATTTATGGTGTGGTGCGGTGTGTTGCGGACAGGGTTTGGTGGGCCGCTCTGTGCTCAAAAGTCCAGGGCCACTTTTTGGCCCCAGTCCGCCCCTGCTACTGTGTATAGACCACCAGGGCCGTATACAGATTTCCTAAA